AAAAAAAAAAAAAAAAAAAAAAAAGAACAGGCTGGACAGGGTTGCCCACAAGGGGTCAGTACAATTCAGACCACACCATCGGTGTACATATCTAGTAGGTGAATCTAATATAGTTCAAAAGTCTCTTCTAATATGACTATAATTGCTAGTACAAATAGTTTTATAATAATAAGAATAGCTAATATTTATTGTTCATTCACTATGTGCTACTCACTGTGTTAAACACCTTATATGCACTGGCTAGCTCATTTAATTTGTTAAACATCCTTGAGATATAATTCCCAATTAAAGTGTACATGATTTTAGTATATTCACAGAATTGTGCAATCGCCACAATCTAAGTTTAGAATATTTTTAACACCCCAGAAAGAAATTTCCTACCCTTTAGGAGTCACTCACTCCCCATTCACCTTCCTCTCAGTCCTAGGCAACCAATAATCTACCTTCTATCTCTATGGATTTACCTATTCTGGACATTTATGCAAATGGAATCATACAGTATGTCAACTCTAAAGACAACTCTGTGAGGAGTTAGACTTATTTCACACATTAAAAAATGAAGTTTAGACCAGGCACAGTGGCTCACATGCCTGTAACCCTAGCACTCTGGGAGGATGAGGAGGGAGGATAGCTGAGGTCAGGAGTTTGAGACCAGCCTGAACAAGAGCAAGACCCTATCTCTACAAAAAATAGAAAAAGTAGTAGGGTATGGTGGTGTGTACCTGCAGTCCCAGCTACTTGGAAAGCTGAGGCAGGAAAATCCCTTGAGCCCAGGAGTTTGAGGTTGCGGCCTGCTATGGTGATGCCACTGCATCCTAGCCCGGGCAATGGAGAGAGACTCTGTCTCCAAAAAAATGAAGTTAAGAGAGGTTAAATAACCGCCTAAGGTGGTGGAAGGGGAACTGAAACCCAGGTCTGGCCACTCAGCTATGCACCAGGCAACAACCTCCCAATCTTCCCACGATCTGTCAGATTCAATACAGCTGGTAATGTTTAGTATTTTCTGTATACCAAATTAGGGGAAAGTATTAATATAACAAATTCTTAGAGATATTTACTGTAAAACTAGGCTTTCAAATAGGTAAGTTTTATTTTTCTAAAAAATATAATGATAACCATGAACCCAGAAGCATAAAAGAGGATTCATTTCATTACCACCAATAGTTGGCCATCAGAGGCCAACTTTCTGCACATCTATAGTACAAGATGAGAAGGTGATGTTTAAAGTGGAAAAAAACTTTGGACTATTATAGAAGAATAACTTCTAATTTTTTTAGCTTCTATTTTTCACAAAAGAAAGCTTTTTGGCAGTATAACTCCTACTGTTACTATCAGTATGTTCTCAAAGAGGAAGGACAGCTATGACAGATAGATAATGCTGTACCAAAACACAGAGAAAATGAGGAATAGAAGAACATTCCCTGTGTGAACTAAAGTTAGAATATTCATATGCCAGCTGCAACTAGCTTAACACATATCGTCATTGCTCTCCAAAATACAAATTTTTAGTTTCTTAGCAAACTTCAAAAGATAACTGCTTTCTAAGAAGAAAAAGTTGGACTATATTATGAAAAGTAGGATGAACGGCAATCCAAATATTTTTATGTGGTAGAATGATTGGTGTGTATTTTTCATATTTACCACAATAACAAACACATAGTGAAAATTTAACTGGATAATTTAAGAAGCGCTTTTAAAAATATACCTCTACATATTGTTCAACAGCATTTTTCCTTTCTCTTTCTTTCTCTCTCTCTTTTTTTAAGACAGGGTCCTGCTATATCATCCAGGCTGGTCTCAAACTCCCGGCCTCAAGCAATCCTCCCACCTCAGCCCCCCAAGCAGCTGAGATTATAGGTGTGAGCCAGCGGGTGTCAGCTCAACAGCATTTTTCTTGTTAAATAACTTTCAATAATCATTGTATTTTCCCAGGTTCCACAAATTTGTTAGGCCTACATCATGACTTAAGGTTGTTGGTTTACATTTCATTGTTTTATGAGCTATAATCAGAGAAACAAAGTTAACATTAAGCTTAAATCTTACAGAGGAAGTGCTTTTTAATGTCAGACTTCAATTCTGCTAGGAAGCTAATCTCTGGCACTTTGGTAAACATGTTTATATATTTAAAAAACAAATCGCTCTCACCGTTGAAAATAAATGACTGAGTGTTCTGCCTGCGAGTCAGTACAATATGAAGATGGGAAAACACATGGTAGTCACTCTGGGTATCAAAGTGATTAGTATGGCAGTAGCAAGTCTCTTAGAAGTAATTTATTCTAAAAATGAATAAAATACTAATGTAATTTTTACCACGGTTGAAATAAACGTGCTAATAAAAACCTGAGGATAAGATATAATTAATAGTTCTATGAAATGTGCTGCCACATGTGATATGAGGGCTGTACAATATTAATTCCTTACGTTTGGTCTGCTTCTAAGATGTTCATCAAGTGGAGTAATAATCTTCATCTGAGACAGGTGGACTCTGCCAGTATCTTCTCCCTTTTGGCATTCCAAGTAATTATTTTCTGCCTGCTTCAGCATCACAAGTACGTCCCCACGCTGTAAGGTAAAATACCACTCTCTGAAGCAATTATTATTTAATAAAACATTATTACTTTTTCCACATTTTAATCTTTGGAGCCTAAAGCATTTAATAATGTGTAATAGCAATGACAGAGGCCAGCGATTTTTTACATTAGTCTGTCAAGAAAGAGCTCTACTTTACCTTACAAGAGAGATCTCCAGGGTTTTGTGGGACAATGTCTTCATTGGCAATTCCATGAGGCACAGACAGCTTAAATGTAAATCAATAAAAGGATTATTCGCAATCAAATAACCTCCTCATAAGTTGTTGATCATTTAGGGATTTGGCATGTGTAACCTAAAGTGCAACTTCTCCAGCAGTTAAACTCTTTATCTGGCTTCTTCCTGCTCTAGATCTAGTGGAGCCTGCCATTTCTTATGGATCCTAAAAGCTCTTGGGAGTTTAGCCCACAAAAGCACAAGCACCGAATGTGGCCTAAAGTTCCCTTTAACACCCACAACCAAGAAGTTCCATTCTACAGGGCAAGGTCCACCAAGTCTCATGGGGAACTGAAGGTAAATACTTAGTACCTGACCTCACAGCTGAACAAGGCACTCAAATCTTTATTTCAGGGTTCTCACAGTGGTTGCCTTTTGAGGCTGATACGTATCAGCCCTCCACGTACTGTCTGACTGACTGCTTCCATTTACCTTGAATCTTCTCCTAGAGTCTCTCTGATACCAAGTGTCTTCTTAAACCCATTTCACTGCCTGATCCCAGACACTTTCTGGTCCACTCAGCTCTGTCGCATCTGAGAATGGATTTTACATCTGAAACTCGCCTTGGCCAGAAGCCTCTGTTCCCTGCTTTGGTAAGTTTTAGCTGATGAGTGCAGGTCAGAGGGTCTGTACAACATAAAAGGCATACCCAGGGAATGCAATCACACAAGCTCACTTCCAACATGGGAAGGGAGGCTGCCTGGGCCCTTAGATCACACAGAAACAAAGGTGCAGAATGCAAGGGTGTAGCCCTGTAAGGCTGGGTGGAGCAGTGCCAATTTCCAGAATGTCTGGCAGAGTCCCAGGGCTTCCACTGTATGCAGATTCCTGGCTCGCAATTTAAATGGTAGGGAAAAAATGGAAAAAATGGGGGATTTAAAGAATTACTTTGTAATGAGACATACCACTCTAAGTATACCATCATTTGAATATATTAATTTCTTTGAGTTTTTAAAAACTTTGTTGACATTACACAACTATGCTAAGAGCCATAAGTGAAATCTGGTTCGCCTGAGTAAGAGCTCTTTACATAGAATGGCCAAATCAAGGGGAACTAGTAACACAATTTTCATCTTTGGCATAATGGCTAGAAGCACAAGGTCAGAGCCAGTAGACCTGTGTTCAAATCTTGATCCCACCATTAACAGGCTTTGTGACCCTTGGCAAGTTACTCAATCTCTCTGTGTCTTATCTTCCTGATTTGTACAATGGGGATAATAATAATATGTACCTCACAGGGTTGGTGCGAGGAAATGAGTTATTTAATATATATAAAATGCTTTGAACAGTACCTGACTCATAATTAGTACTCAATACACGTCAGCTACTGTTTTTACTTATTTATGAAGTAACCTATCCCAAAGAACACCCCTGGGTTTTAGTAATTAAAATTTCATCAGTTTAAATGAATGTGAATATACTACCCTTCTTCTTATCTGTCTATACCCTTTTCTAAGGAGGATTTTTTAAAAACTCTGAATGATTTAAAGAAAAAATAATTTCTAGCTCAATGATGGAAATGTAAAACAATATAAAATTATTAATCGCTGTTGTTGTTAGGAGGTACTCTGTCATACCGTTGTTTAAAAAGTGCAAGCAACCATCTGTGTGCTTCTAATTCCTCCCCCCGCAAAAAAAAGAAAAAAGAAGAAAAAAGTGCAAGCAGTCCTGCTCTCTTTATCATTTTTATTTGTTTTAGATTTTTTCAGGTTAACCTGATCAAAGTAGAGAGCAGAGCAACTTTGTTTTTCAACTATGGGAAATGGAGACAAAGGTTTAGGTCATTTGATGAGAAAAACATTCAAAGAGAATAAAATTCTTACAATATCTTAACTATCTCAATTACTGATGCAAACTTCTAACTGGTAACTATTAAATGGGCCATGATAATTAGGCTTACGAAAGGGAGAAATGAGAGAAAAACCATTCATCTTAATAAGAACTTTCTTTCTGCTTCATTTTAAATTTTATTCAGCGGGCAAAGCAGCTATAAGATATAAACTATGATTTGACTATTACACATTGTTTGCCTGTATCAAAACATCACATGTACCCTATAAATGTATACGACTATTATGCATTCATAATAATTAAAAAATTTATATCAAGATCTAGATAGAGATACATAATCTGTCAGAGTTACTCCCATTAGCATAACCTACCGGGTCAGGTTTTTCAGAGTTCCTGTTTGGTCAAGAAGACAGCAAGTTATAATCCCTGCCTGCCCTGCTTTATCTTTTCCTACATTTCTCCTAGAAATAAAACCCAGCTTTAAAGATCTAGGTTTTATTTTCACCCACTTATCAAGAGCATTCTTAGGAACAAGTGACAATTATTTCGCCATCTTTTCCTAAGGAATCTTATATATACTTTAGGACAAGGCTCTTGACCACAAATATTTTTAAGAGCTAAATTTACCATGTATTTACTGTAGAGAGGGTGTCCTGGTTTGGGGCGAGGGGGTAGCACCGGATCTTGATTTTTAAAGACTTGACTCTTGGCTTTTGAGAGTCCAGATGCCAAGTTACTTTGTTTTTTCTGAAGATCCATGTCGGAAGAGGACCGATTAAAGGGCAGTTTTTTATTTGATGTTCTGGTCGCAGACAGTTTCGGGGGAGGTGGTCTCTCAGGGGGCACCTTGGGAGGAGGCTGTCGAGTTGAAATGGTTTTTCCATTTACAGGTCTGAAAGTCAATGTAGGAGCCATGAGTCAGTGTTTTGATCAGTATCAGATGCTGTTCTGTCCTTTCTTACAGGCACACACATACACACACACACACACACACACACAGAGCTTTCTGTTAGTGGAATACAATTTACTGAAACATGCAGGGTATGCTATTTTTGAGCAAACGACTACTGCATTAAACATTGTATTATTAGAGGAAATGCCACGATGTTCCAGCTTCCTCTTATCTTGCACTAGAGATTCATTAGTTCAAGACAAACAAGCATTTACTATCATGAGCTCTCTAAGGGCCCATTTGCTATTAAACACACCATGACTATTTCAGGAAACTAAGCACTTTCTACCAAAGTCTGAGATGAAAGCTTATAATAAGATATTAGGTATATGTGCTGGGGTCTTCCACATGATTAGAAAAGGAACATCAAAATCCCCTAAAATTGATGTTATAGGAGTTACTATTAAAACTCCAATTTAGATTAATATAAAGAAAGCCAGTTCTGAAAATGGGATAGGATAACTGTTACTTTGAAAGCTTTTCCTTAATCCCTATGACAGAAATAATTTTCAACACAGTAATGTCTTTCGATAGCATTACAGCCTTCTGTTCAAATAGCTCTGGAACTCAGGAGGCAGCTCACTTCTGAGCTCACAAAGCCTATCTCCCTTGGAAATGCCAAAAACCAGGCCTGTCTCTCTTTACTGAGGGCAGGGGGAGAGAGAGTGTGTGTATTCCAGAAGTGGAGTTGTTTTAGGTTCAAAAAGGAGTCTTATACATTTGTTTCAGGAAAAGTAATAGAGATCAATGTTTATGCTCTATGAGTTTGTGGACAGTGTTAAAAAAGGTGCAGAGATTCCCACAGCCTGCTGTCAGAAGCAGACTGTGGGCCAGTGGCCTGGGTGAATTCGTGAGATTATTTTATCTCTAGAAGAAGACCTACGGCCAACAACACTCAGTCTTGGTGACAGAAAAGAGAGTTGGGTCTCTGAGTTATTAGTTTTTCTCTAACTTTTCACACACTTACTTACCTTGGTGGCAACCTTGGGGGTCCTCGCACAAAACCTCCTATATGACCAGTGTGGCTGGATTCCTGCAAGTATTAGAGAATACTTTTTAGTTAAGGTTAATCCAAAACAAGAGCTTGTCAAGAGAAATTTTGGATAATTTTTTGGCTGGGTCTATAAGTAGAAATGTAGTTGAGTTATAGAAAGTAGCTTAAAAGAGTTTCCAATCTTAAATAATATTAACTCACTCCTACCAAAATTATCCATGTCCTAATACAAGTAAAAACACTGAAAGGAAGAAACCGAGGGATCTCCTGTTGTGGACTACAGCCTGACCAATTGCACTGCACGGTTATGTACCTAGTGGATTCGTGTCACATTAAGGGATGATGTTTAAATACAACAGGTAGCATGGTAACAATTTAAGCAGGCACTGAAGAGAATTAAAAAAATTATGGTCTTTATTCATCCCATGATCACACATAAGAAATATAGTGCTTTTAAGTTTAAACATATAGTAAGTGAGGTGGCTATTAGTTTGTTTTGCTTTGAACAGGCAGTTCTTATCTGATCACCGGATGGTTTCAACATCTTTTAGTGGGTTTTGAACTAGAAGGACGTGGGAACACAAAAGAAGTTTAAGGGATGGCCTGAAAGGAAGGCATGTGAGGAGGAATAGAACAGGTCCAAGGGAGAAGAGTGCTTGACCACTATGGCAAAGGGGTTGGGATGGTCTAAGAAGAGTTTTGTAGGAAAGAAGGAAAGAGTAAAAGGGAATAATGTGAAAAATAAAAGACAGGTACAGTTGGAATGTTTTATCCCATCAGTAGATGAGAGAAATTGGAAGTGTAGAATTAATAGGAAGATTTTTGTAGGGAAAGGGATTCAAACTATGTTGTTTAAGTAGGTTTTCTGAACATGCGATAGCTGTAGAACTGGGAAATGAATATAATACCTGGAAAATATTTTCAGATCTTCTGTTGAGTGGGAAGCTATAGGATCTCAAAGCCAAAACTTCAGTTTTTTGGGGAAAAGTCCTCTCTAAATTCTTCTAATTCTGATTGTCTCTTTTTTTCACCTTTCCTACTTTCTAAGTCCCCAACACTGACACCCAGGAAATAATATTTCTCCAAGACCTCATAAGGGCAAAAAACCTAGCCCTTTAAAATTATACTGCCTTTTGTTTTGGTAAAGGAAGTCTTATTACAGCTTTGGAATCTTTGGGCTAATTCAGACTGCTTTACTCCTTCTTATAAACAAGCTAAAACTCACTTTCATGATTTTTTTTTTTTTTTTTGAGACAGAGTCTCACTCTTTTGCCCTGGCTAGAGTGAGTGCCGTGGCGTCAGCCTAGCTCACAGCAACCTCAAACTCCTGGGCCCAAGCGATCCTTCTGCCTCAGCCTCCCGAGTAGCTGGGACCACAGGCATGCGCCACCATGCCCGGCTAGTTTTTTCTATATATTTTTAGTTGTCCGATTAATTTCTTTCTATTTTTAATAGAGACGGGGTCTCGCTCTTGCTCAGGCTGGTCTCGAACTCCTGAGCTCAAACAATCCGCCTGCCTCGGCCTCCCAGAGTGCTAGGATTACAGGCGTGAGCCACCGCGCCCGGCCTTCACTTTCATGATTTTTAATTCATATTGAATATTTACAACTTTTCCTTAAATACCAAATGATTAATTGTCAATAAATGAGATCATTTAAACATGTTTCAATGTTTTAAAATCCCATTTTTAAAAAGAAATTAAGCTTGTCCTTAAGACTTGGTTTCACTAATGAGTTCAGTTAATGTAGTGAGGCAAGTCACCAGCTCATAAACCCTGCAATATTCCAGAATATAATCCATGCCTTATAAATATACTGCTGCCTATATTTCTTCCTGATGAATATTGCTATAATACTTCAAAAATGCATTTATTACTTTGGCCACCTTTAAAATTAAAATAACCAAACACACAAACTCCAGCAGATAGGGAGAAAATTTTATTGCTTTTCTCAAAATTATAGTTGTTGAAAACCTTAATAATTAAGAAAAAATTTAAAAAACATAAATGTATAAACTTGACATGGAAAGGTATAGATGATGTACTGTACAAAATACATAGTATATGATCCAAATTTTGTATCAAATATTAGTTAGTTTTCCCTGGGTTGTAGTATTTTTACGGGAAATCTTAAATATCTTTTTAATTTCTTGACTTTTTACAGTGTGCAAATTTTAAATCAGAAAAAAATAGTATATTCAAATTCCTGAAGGATGCTAGGCACATCTTGAAAGGCACTGCCATATCTGACATACTCCAAATACTGAGAAAAGGAGACGGTTCCTGTAGGAGCCACTGTCTTAGTGATTGCCCAAGTCTGGGTTTGTCCCCAAGTTCTGCCAACAGTCTTTGAAAGATTATTGATTAAGGATTTCCTCCTCTTCAGTGTTCCACACATAACTTGAAGCCTCGCTGCATCTGCTTTTTGGTAGTTTTTCTCTGGCTCTGACATCCCTGAACTTTGGTTTTTAATGTGTTTGGATAAACATTTTAGTTCCTGGTGAAGTTGGTTTTCCTACTTGTACTGTCTCTGCAGATTCCATCTTTTTGTTCATCTGCACTGAAATTATATTCTAATTTCAAAATAATTTCCCAGTTTTTTGCCATATTTTTAAAAAACAGTTATTTATCCCAAGACCACACTCTTGTCTGTTAGAATTACGGAGCAGCCTCCACAGATGTTTCTTCTTTTCTTTCTCCAAGAACTTGTACCACTTCTTATGTCCTGAATTCAGAATCAGCCCCTATGTCTCCTTCTTCCACATACAGAATGTGTTTGTTCTTATTAGTGAGCTTCTGTGCTGTATATTTAATTCCTTACGCATACTATGCGGCAGCTCCTGACTCTCCTCCTGTACTGTTGGCAGCCTCCTTGGGGGATGCTTAGGAAGCCTTGCATTCCCAGGTGGGCAACAGGGCACACAGAGGTGTCTGCTCCTGCTGACAGAATGGTTCCAGTGGTTCCTGACGTTCTTCACCCTGGGGTCCCTGATCATTTAAATGAAGAAAGTGAGGTCTGCCAACTCAGCCATCTTATCCTGAGATGGAAAGTTCCCCAGACTCATGGCAAGAGAAAGAGTAAAGGGTTTTTGTCCTGTGCCACGGTCAGGAGACGTAGTTGGCAAAGATCATGCCTATCCCTGTGGGTCACTACACTGGTGCAGTGTTCTTTCTAGAGACCCCCATCCACAACCCTTTAGTCCTTATAGCCTCTGGTCTGAAATTCGTTAATTGTAATTCTCAAAAGGAATTTCTTAGGCATAGATTTGAGTTTCAGGACCTAAAAATCTACACGTGTGACTACAGGCAAATCATTTTACTTGTGGTCTGTTTCCCCATCTATTCTTCCTTCAGACTCAACGTGCTATTAATAGTATGCATTTATTTCAGTACAATACAGAATGCTCTGACTCCCTTTGTAAACAGTGCAGGACAGGATTTCCCTCATGTTGTCCATGTGAGGTACGAAAACAATTATGAATATAGTATCTTTCCAGATGGTTTAGTTTATTTTAATTTCCTTTTCTGGTTGTTCTAAAACGGGGGAGTTCCTTGTAGGCAGCTTAACACTAAAGTAATAATACCTAATATTTTCAGTAGAGCTTTATAGTTTACAAGGCCCATCTCATCACTTAATAAATGATGAATTTACTTACTCATCACCCTCTCGCTCCTTTTTATAAAACAGAGTAGAAGCCAGTAACCTTCTCAAGCAACTTTTCCTCCATGGAAATTTGGGGTTTTCCTATTCAACAATAGTATGGTAGGGACCCTACTATCCTCTTTTGGGCTTTCTTGGCCCAGTTTTAATAAAAATTTATTACCAAGTACTTTGAAAATCCAAGTTATCACTAAATTTTAATTCATTCTTCAGGAAAATCTCATTAACTTGATATTGGCTAATTTAATTTAATGTCTTCAAAGAAATTTCTCTTCACTAGATGATTAGGTGAGTTTGCCTGTATAATAAGCATAGTTAATGCACAATGTAAAACTATTATGAGATTTGGACTGAAAATTTGGTTCAAAGACTTTAAGAATTGATTTCTCTTAAAATAAGCCTAAAAGATCATCTATCACATGGAAAATTTAAAAATGTATGAG